TTCACAACACTGCAAATGCACTGTATTATTTTCTAAGTGTGGGCCTGGAAGGCTCTGTTTGTTGTGTTCCAGTAACATTGACGAAGATGGATGATCTTTCCTCCACAATGGCACAGTGGCTTAAACGTAATTACTGGCTTTATGGAAAAGAAAAAAGGCCAGACATCAGAAACCTCAAAACCGAAACACTTTGCTTTTTAATGATTCCAAATGATCTAAACATGCACTGGAATGAAAATCACTCAATTAGCCCTCTGCTCTACTTGGAGTGCTTTATAGAATTCAATTCATACTTTTTTAACACATTCTTTGAAATGAACAATAAATCTCTAAAATTGTAAAAAGCTTTCATTTCATAAAATTTGATGATTCACTTTCTCTGTGTCTGTGTGTGTTTATCTCTTCAGGGTATAAGATTTTCAGCACAAGTTTCATGATTTAGCTTTTCCCATTTAGGCAGATGGGATATGATGGTGAAAAACAAGACTGTTACTTGATTATCTTGGTAGGTTGACATGGTATGGTTTAAATAATAGTGAATTTATTCTGGGATAAGAAAATATTTTGAGCTATAACATAACAAATGTATCCCTTCAATTACTCCTACCTCCAGCATATGATATTAAGCATAATTTCTAGATTTCTTTCACAAGCTATAGCCATCCAGAGTCACTGATTAAAATGGTCATTTTTATTTATCCACTGGAAAAGCAAGATGATTTATGTGCAAAATGATACAACGGCTTTGTCTGGAAACCATTTCGTCCTTTAAGGTAAAGATGTGAAAGCGAACTCAACCATCAACTGCCTAAAACATTCTCCCAATTGGACATTTAGCAGTGGCTAACTGAAATTAGAAAATTTGAAATTAGAAAAACTGGTGAAGAAAGCCAAAAAGCAATCGAAGCCATTTGATGACATGAACATGGCTGAATAGTTCTGAACTCCTTCTGCAATTGAACTTGATTCCTGCTTGAGTCATATCTCTTTTCACCAACCAGACTGAAGAGGGCTGATCAAAGCACGAAATACATGCTCAATAAATGTCTTCGGTAAATAATTTTAGAGAAAAGGTTGTGATTATCTCCTCACCTCCAAAGTCTGTCTCTATCACTTCTTTTATGTCCCAAATTGTTCTGGAGCTGCTGGATAGTCAATCTGAGCCATGATGAAATGGCTCAGAGTCAACCAGGGTCCTATTTGACAGAGGCCATAAAATTGCAGATTTTAGGAAAAGATTACATTCCATTTGCACATGAAAAAGGAGAGAGGATCTGGAAATGGGAAAGCCAGGAAGATGAATAATAAATTTCTTCCTCTTCCCAAGTCACAAATAAAACTGCATTTTTGAACACACAAGCCTAAACAAAATGGGAATGTCTTCAGATTAATGTCAGTTGTACTGAATTTATTGACGATGCCCTGCTTTTCCCCCCAATATTAATGTACTGCTTTAATGTCTTCTAATTTTATTTTGATAATAGCACATGTTATTTTCATACTCAGAAACACATGCACACGGAAAGATTCAGAGTTAGCACTTTGGTTTCTAGCTTTACAGAGTTTCCTCAGCATACTCTCTCCTCTCCCCACATTATTGATGTGTTTTGTGACTACTGAAGCGGAAGAGTAGTCAGGGTATTTCAATGACATTTATTCATAGACATTTAGTCAAACATGTCCTGCCAGACCCACCGCAACTTTGCCACAGCAGCTGCTCTGGGGAGGAGCCCTTCCACTGGGTCCTCCTCCTTCTGGCCGCTGGGGTGGGATCTTCGGACCCTGTCCCCAGCCCCGGGTCCTCATTCTGCCTTCCAACCTCTGGTCTGCTCAAGGTCGAAGTGCTCCATCCAGGCAGGAGGACCTGACATTTCCTCAGCCCCCTGCTTTCATCATCACTCAGGGAAGTGTGTTCCAGAACACCAGGGGGCTCTTCCCCAAAGGGAAAGGGTAGTTGGGTTACGGGGTGACAGGCAAATGTCACCCTCTTCTAATGACCTCATTTCAATTCATTAAATCATTGTAGCACATTAGGATAAACATGGCAGCCAATTCTGGTGTCCCAGAAAAATTGCCTTCCCCTGTGAAACCAGTCTTTTGGCTACTGGGAGAGGCAAGGAACCTCTCACATTTCCAAGAACAAAAAGATAGTAACAGCCTTAGCTAGCATTTAGCTCGTGTCTGCTGCATGTGGAGCAGTGTGCTAGGCATTTTGTACCTACGATCCATGTTAATCCATACACAAGCTCCTAGAAGAAAGGTAGAGGGGAGCATGACCTAGTGTCAGAAGCCCTGGTAGAGGGGAGCATGACCTAGTGTCAGAAGCCCTGGGTTCAAATCCAGGTTCTGCTGCTCCTGGGCTGTGTAACTGTGGGCAGATTGCTGAACGTCCCCGTGCTTTAGGATCCCAGCCTGTAAGGTGAGATGATGAGTAGTAAAGAAGCAAGTTTAGGACAGCATGTGGGACGTGATGAATGTTCAAAATGACTTCAGTTATGATCACTACTGTTTTCCTCATTTTACAGATGAGGAAACTGGGGTTTAAAAGATATTTAATTTGCTCTAACTCACAGAGCTAATCCAGGTCTGATGTTAGAGGCCAAGGGACTTGTCCTCAGCCACGAGCAGTCAGCAGAAGATCAAGGAGCAGCAACAGGGCGCCCGATTCCTAAGTGAGGTGTTTGCCTCACACTCACACACCACAGGCACAGAGAGTGTGGGCCACTGAGCTGAATTTCTACAGCATCTACATATATCTTAGATATTGCTTTCCGACACAGGAATTGTCACGTCTAGGAGTATACTTGCATAAAAGACCTGATATACAGTTTGGTGCCTTAGATACAATAAAAGGAGCTTGCCTTTGTCCTCCGAGACAAAAGCACTAGGCTGCGCTGCTGGCACGGTGGGTGCTGGACTTGGGAGGAAAAGGCCTTGTGTGTTGAGAAGAGCCACTCACCTGGTCCATTCGAGAAGAATGAAGCTCATATCTCGCCACACCTGACTTGTGGCACTTCCCAGGCTGTGCTTCCAGACCAGCCTGCCCCTGTCTCCACAGGAAAGACCAACAGTTGGGCCCAAGGCTCCTGGTCCCAGACACCCCTTTGCAGGTCCCTTACAGCCCTGAGCCCCAATCTAACACCTCACTTGCCCCAGCTACCACCTGCCATTGCTAATACCTTTCCTTGACACTTGCCTCTTGGTTCTTAAAGTGGAAGGAATAATGAGAGGAAAAATAAAATCTTAAAATAATTGGATTTTAATCGATCAAGACTTTTACTGCCTGCCCCAGAGCCTTATAACTAGTTCGGGGTTTTAGTTCCTGTTTATAAGTGTGTTGTATTATAAAAGCAGTTTGTTTTCATAGGAAAAGGTATTACAAACAGTGGGTTCAGATTACCAGGCTAGCCCGCTGTGGTAGACTGTTCTGTTGTTCCAGTTATTCACGGCCTCCTCTCTGTGCGATGACTGACTGTCCTTCCCCAACCCAATGACATCAGGTTTGCTAATGTGACTTTCTTTAGTCAGTGAGATGTGAGCATAAGTGACACATGGCACATCTGAGCACAACTTGAAGAGTCATCATGTGGTTCTACCCTCACTTCTTTTTCCTCTGCAGTAAATACAGCCACTGCCCAAGAGAGGGGCTGCCCTTTGACCTTGGGTCCTGGAATGAAGGAGAGATGGAGAGCAGACCCACAGCCACCCCACAGCCCATGCACAGTATAAGGGAGAAATCAACCCTGTTATTGTAAGTCACTGAGATTTGGGAGTTACTTGTTACTGCAGCGTAACTAGTGGATGCTGGCTACCATATTCACTACAGCTTAGTAGACCAGATTCATCTAAAATAGTATATATTTGCAATGAAAACTAGTGGAAACTCATGCTTGAAATGGTCACCATCTAAAAAAAGTGGGTTTTGTTTTTTAAAGAACTAGGGTTAGAGCCAAGGCATCTTTATAGAGCTGATATCATTCTTGTCATTATTCAAAATGCAAACTGACCCTGGGCAGGTTTTGATGCCTTCGGACACATTAAGTTCCTCACAGAATTTAGTTTTCGACCTAATTTATTTTTTCTTCCTCCAGAGGGCATCTGTAAACTAGAGAATTCATACTTCCTCTTTTTCAGTGCTACACTCAGAGCTTTTGCTAGCCTCATGGTCTGCACCCTTAAATGCATCCCAAAGGCAGCTGCAAGGCCAAAGCCAAATTCAACTTTGCTACATCACATAGGAGAGAAATGGCATGAAGGTTAAAGGCAGACATGTGGTTCACTCTTACTATGTCTCTAAATTTGACTTTGGAGTGTTTTTATTCCTTAGAATGTAAAGCCACAGCCAAATCATCGATCAAATCTGTGTACACAATGTTTAAGAATGGAAAAAGCAAGAATTAGTTATATTCAAGAAGACCATTTGGGAACATAGACTTTTAGAAAATGAAATCACGTATCACAGTCAGTCACATTCCTAGGATGCAAAAGAAAAAAAATACATATCAAAAGGCTTGAAGGCTTATCCATTTAAATAAAAAGGTATGTGGATGGTGGTGGTGGTAGAAAGCTAGTGAAGTTTAAAACAGATGGTTCTGGATACAGATTAGATACACACACATACAGATTTATGTGTATACGTATAACTATACTATGCTGAATAATGTATATAATTTTACATATTAAATCATATGTAAAATATGACATATCCTGCGGAATTTACTCCTGCGCCTCCGCTTTGGGTTTCCTTTGAAATCTGTCTTCATGATAAAAGGATTCCTTTTCATTTATTAGACACAGAGTTTGAAGTTGCTTAGAGTTTTCTGACAATTGTGTCATGCTGTGCTCGCTACAAAGTGTTTGGTTTGAAAACCAGCACAGCTGAAATGGTCATTGCCTGGGCAAAGGGGCGCGTCGGCTGGGCTTAACAGGATGAAGACAAGCGAGGGGCCACCCTGCAGAGCCACCCAGCCCTGCCCAGCTGCACGGACCTCAGGACTCACCAGATTCTGCGTAAACACGGAAACATCCTCTGTGCTGTTGTCAGAATTGACTCGCACCAGCCTCCCGAGTCTAGGGGAACTTATAACCGTAAAAGTTACAGTTCTGTTTCCTATGCTGTCCGCGTCACTGGTCACAGCTCTCAGGTCACCAGATGAAAGGGGCTTCATGGAACCTAAGTGAAGATTAAAACATGCCCTGAAGTATGAAGCATAGGAAGGCTGCCAGTTAACAAAATGACCTTTATAGACCCCTGAAAATTCTGGAAAACACATGTTTATATGGGGGGGACTGGCTGGCAAGAAACTGTGCTGTGAGGGGCTAGTGATCCCCACGGCATCTATTTAAGGATGAGATTTGCTCCTGGGGCTGGAGATGAAGGAGGAAAACCTGATGAGATGAGCTCCTCAGTCCCTGCCAGTCCTGCGTGGCTTACTGATCCCCAGAGAAAAGACGCAATGCCAGTGTGTGGGGGCTTGGCTCAGAGTGCAGGAAGGGGAGCCGACTGGGTGCCCCGAGAGAACAGGAGACAGCGCCCTCCCCCCGCCCCCCCCCCCCCGGGGAGGACAGACGCACCCTGGCCTGATGGTAGCTGCAGGTGCTCAATGGAGTGTCCATCTGTGGACATCTGGGGGAGAAGCTGGCTCTTGAACGAACTTGAGACATCTCCAGAGGACCCCAGACAGGCAGGAGGAAGAACCGGGAACACACAAGTGTTTGTGCTAATTTGACCAAATGTGGCAACTCAGAGCTAGAGAGCCTTGGGACATTCAGGTTAGAGCAGGTGGTTCTCAAACGGTCTGTGGTGAAGGAGCAGTGTTTTCCCCCTCCCCCAATCACCCCTCTAATTTTCCAAAGAAGACATAAAAAAGGGCCAACAGGACAGGGCCAGTGGCGCAATGGATAACGCGTCTGACTACGGATCAGAAAAAGGGCCAACAGGTACATGAAAAAGTGCTCATCATCACTCATCATCAGGGGAATGCAAACCAAAACCTCAATGAGATACCACCTCACACCTGTTAGGACAGCCATTATCAAAAAGACAAGAGATAACAAAAGCTGATGAGGGATGTGGAGAAAAGAAAACCCTTGTTTTGTAAATTGGTGCAGCCACTATGGAAAACAGTGTGGAGGTTCCTCAAAATATTAAAAACAGAACTACCATACGATCCAGCAATCCCAGTTCTGGGTATACATCCAAAGGAAGCAAAATCATTATCTTGAAGAAAATAATTACATATGTAAGTACATATGTAATTTATATTATTCAGGCTTTAAAAAAGAATGAAATTCTGTCATTTGCGCCAACATGGATGTTGCTGGAGGGCATTATGCTAAGTGAAACAAGCCAGAGAAGGCAAATACTGCATGATACCGCTTACTTAAAAAAAAAAAAAAAAAAAAAAAACTGAAAAAACCCAAAACCAATCCAGTTGAACTCACAGAAACAGCGGAAAAGTGGTTGCCAGGGGATGGGGTAATAAGAAGAGGTTGGTAACAGGTACAAACTTTCAGTTATAAAATGAATAAGGTCTGAGGATCTAATGTCTGACATGGTAACTAGAGTGGATAGCACTATACTGCATAATTGAAATTTGCTAAGACAGGAGAACTTAAATGTTCTCAAACACACACACACAAAAGGTAAGTATATGAGGTGATGGATGTGTTAATTAACTTGATGGGGGGAATAATCCTTTCATAATGTAGAGGTATATCAAATCATCATTTTGTATACTTTGAATAGTTTCAAATTTTGTTAATTATACCTCTGTAAACCTGAAAACCCAAACAAAACAAAACAAAATGTCTGAGCCCCTGGGATGGGCACTAGGTCCTGGGGCTCTGGGGGTGAGGCAGGAGTGCCTGGTGATGTCAGCCTCAGGAACACAGTTGGGCCCCAGGTTCAGGACTGTCTTGGCACAGTTTTGGCTGTTACATACAAGTACTCAGGTGAGGCTTGTAACTGCCTCCCACATTTCTCTTACGTCCTTCCCACTGAAATTTTTGCAGACACTGCCCTCTTCCAGCTTCTGGAGCTGCGGGCCCAGGATCTGAGGTCACTCAGGAAGGCCAAGAGGAATTATTCTGTACCCACAGTCAGTGTCACATAAAGTCAAAACTAAGGCCCATTCTTTGTTACCTACCAACGTGGGTTTCCCTCATCCTGTCAGGTGGATCGTGTTTTCATGTGTGCAGTCTTTGGACACCCAAACTTCTCTACCTTCAGCTTTTTTTTTTTTTAGAACTTTCCCCCACTGTGCCTTCTTAATTTTCTCCTTCGTATAAAGGATTCTAACTTTTCACTTATTCCTCCCTGTCCAGGGCTACCTTTGGCAGGTGGGGGATGGGAGGGACTCTTTCTTTAAAACAGTATCATTTAATTTGTCTTAGACTTTTGGGGGATAGGACCCACCAGAGATGTTCCAGGCCAAGAGTGCTTTTTTCCTCAGCCAGGGTATATTAATCCCTCATCCCCTTGTCCAGGTATCTAACCCAGAAGTGTTCCTAGGGTTTAATTCCTATTCAGACGTCATCTGGGCATGCTCAGTCAGCAAGACTAGCCAGCTCCATGTTGTAACTGCCTGATGAGCATCTTTTAGCATTCAGCCCAATTCTCGGAAAGCCAAACATCGCTTGCCCCCCAACCTACCTCATTTTATCCAAGCATTGATAGTTTCATCGGTAAGCTCCAGGAACTTAATTTGGGAAGGATTTCTCCAAGGTGCCACCTAACTGTATATTCCATAAAGTAACCGTCCTACAAGAAATGTGGTAATAAAAGGGCTCATAACCATATCTGTTTGGCAAGCCCTCACTCCATATGCACCTCTTAGAGATTTTGAAAAGCAAATCAGCATGTTACAGACTTTAAGTCTTGGAGTAAAGAAATCTACTTTATCCTTCTTTTATTTTTTTATTTTTTATTTTTTTAAAGATTTTATTTATTTATTTGACAGAGAGAGAGATCACAAGTAGGCAGACAGGAAGGCAGAGGGAGAGGGAGAAGCAGGCTCCCTGCTGAGCACAGAGCCCGATGTGGGGCTCGATCCCAGGACCCCTGGGATCATGACCTGAGCCGAAGGCAGATGCTTAACCATCTGAGCCACCCAGGCGTCCCTATCCTTCTTTTAAGTACAGCATTTCTCAAACATACCTTATCTCCCATTGTGTTTGTTTCATGAAAAACAACCACCTCCATAACAGCAAGAGTTTCATGGCCACTAGGCTAGGAGGCCTTGCTCATTTCTTCAACAGACATTATCAAGTGTCTCATATGTGACAAGCCCTAATAAGGAGTAGAGATGTACTAGGAACAGCACAGATAGTCCTGCCATTCCTTTTGGATATCATGATAATCCAAAGAAATACAGATTTGTGTCCTCACTAAGAAGGGATAACAAGTCTCTGAGAGGTTAAATGATTTGCCTAATGGTCAAATGTAGGTCTCACTGACTCCAAAATGAGTATTTTCATTTTTTTAAAGATTTTATTTATTTATTTGAGAGAGACAGAGATAGCAACAGAGATAGTGAGAGAGAGCACAAGCGGGGAGAAGAGGGAGAAGCAGGCTCCCCGCTGAGCGGGGAGCCCGATGCAGGACTTGATCCCAGGACCCGGGGATCATGACCTGAGCCAAAGGCAGACACTTAACCGGCTGTGCCACCGGGGTGCCCCTCAAAATGAGTATTTTTAAAGTTGACGCTATATTGTCTACACTGTACTACTTTAAGCTCAGTGCTGGAATGATAACTGAGTTAGGAAATGTGATGAATCATTCAACAAATCCAACAGATTCTCCTCTCCACCTTCCGAACACGCTGCCAAACCTCTTCCCCGGTCCTCACCTCTGCAGCCATACTGTGCTCTCTGGTATGCTCACCCCTCTTTGTTGCCACTCATTGAAATGCTACTCCCTCTGCACAGGCAGCTGAGGACCTGTCTAGCCAACAAGCTCTCCGTGACTATTCCAGCCTATGGGGAATTTCCCTCCCCTGAACTCGTGTCGCTCACCTAGTCTATACCACTCACTGGACCCTTAGCATATGTTTTGCATGGTTAGTGTCCTGTTGAGGGTAAGTCTCCTATTTCCCCAATTAGTAAGCCTTTATTTTTTTTTCCTTAAGGCTTGATTAAGCCTTTTCTTAGAGCTCTTGATTATCTCCCACTAAGTCTTGCAATATTCTAATCAGTGTTGCAAGACTAGCTGACTAAAGGTTTTACAAATCTCTGCTCTAAACTCTAGCAACACACTGTGATTTCCTTCTGCTTTCTTCTCTCCCTCCATTCCCACCACAAAGGACAGATGGCCCATCAGTGAGATGTGATTCCCTCTATAGCATGACTGAACCCCAAGGGGATTGAAGTGACACAGTCTGCTATGAATACCCTTCACTGATCAGCTACTGTGTAAGCTTATATTCTAGACCACTTTGACAAAACTCTCAAGGTCAACCCCTCCTCAACACTCTTTGTAAAAGAGCCAAGTACCATTTGGATATGCAGAAAAACTAGGTCCTAAGACCACAACATGTTCTAACATGTCACGACTAAAGATAAACAAACAAACGCATTTCATGGTAGCATTCAAGGTGAAAAACTGGTTATAAAATTTTCTGGGGAATAAATTTTGCAGGAAGAAGTAGAATGTGAGTGTATGTGTGTGTGTACATATGTGTATATGTGTATTTATGTATACCCATATATATGCAAAATAACGAAAATATACATTGAGTAGACATTTTTTCTTCGTTCACACACAAAGAGTTCATTTAGAACTGCAGTCCTTCCTACTTTGAAATAACTGAGTTAAAAAATGACTTTCAAATTTGGCAGGGCACAGAAGCGATGGTTAACCTTAAAATATTCAACCGTTCAGTATTTTTATAAGTATTTTGGCTCACCCGACAAATTCTTACAGGTCTCAAGTCAGGGCCACTTTTTAAGACTAAGTCGACAAGGAAGGCAAAAGAGCCCGGCCAAAGTCTGCCAGGCTGCTGGAGAGAGTCCACCTGGTATGGGATCAGTGTGAGTAAAAATAAATGGGGACTGATGCTGGGTTGCAAGATTTTCCTACTCAAGGGAGTGAAACACACAAAATGTCTACGTCATCATTGCTGTTTATTAAATTGCTATGCGTATTTTCCTGGTTGTGTATATCAATCCGTCAATAATATCAAGGAGACAAAAATAAAGAGCCTCCATGATGACTGCATTCTCTGAGAACTGGTATTCTAAAAATTGAGACGGGCCTGGAACACAGGCATGCCCAGAAAGGAGAGAAGCTGCCGTGATTCCAGCACAAGATTTGGGGTTGGAGTTGGCACTCGCTCTTGGGGCTTATGATTCCTGTTAGTTATATGGCTTTGAAACTGCCTGAGCCCCAGTGTTTTCTATCAACATTGCATCATGCTCAAACAGGGATGATGCAACTTACTTTTATATACATTATTTCACTGAAATCCTTCAAACAATCCAGGGCGGTAGACGAAAATGTAAAACACAACAAAAGCACAGGTATTAATAGTATCTGGATGTCCATTCTAGAACAGGAATAGATTTCCTGCTATTATGGTTCTATAAAATCTATTGTTCTATAAAAAGGAATACAATTTCCCTGATATTTCAGAACATATGGGTCAACTGGAGTATGACAAGAGGCGTAGTAGCTGACAGCTGACACCTGCAATCACACAGGAAGGGGGTACAGAGCCCCCTCCCCTCTCAGCCAAAGTACCGCCTAATAGACGAGGGAGGCAGAGGTCACTCAGATCCTGCTCCCTGAAGGACCTGTCATGATGGGGGGGGTGCGGTCCTGAGAGAGGAGGGAGAGTGTCATCTGTCATCATCCCCCCCGCCGCCCCCGCCCAACTTCACACAGCAGCAGGGACCAACATCCTCCGGTGGCTACTGTAGAAGCCGGCTGAGCAAGGCTCACTGTGTCCCTAGAGAGAGGAGGAGATGTGGTCATCAGAACCACACCCATGCCAGGGACTTCCGATGCAGAAACAAGTGGGCCCCCACCACCCGGGACGTGAGGAGAGGAAAACCCCAAGGACAACTGGACCAAGCGAGCCATAAGATCCATCCCAACTCTAAAACCTGTGACTCTGCAGTAGTCATTCCCACACCCACTCGAGTGGAATTTTATCAAACGTACCAGCTGCCTAATGGAAATGGACACGAAAACCCATCATCCTTCCCGCTGGCCAGATGCTGGAGCTGGAGACAAGGTAAAACCCCGGGGACAGAGGGCAATGCAGGAACCAAGAATAACAGACCACAGGTGCCAGCTAGGGGCAAGCTTGGAGAAAGGAGCCGCTCACTCAGGGTTGGGTCCAAATATTAGACAGAGGGCTATAAAAACTCTGTTTTGCATAGTTCCACAAAGGTGACAAGGGAATTTGGGCCACTTTCATATATTTTTCTTGCTAAACTAATATTCAGTAAAATGGGCGCCAGAAACACAAAACTTTCTAAGCTGTAGTGGCTATAACTCCCCTTTAAGCTGACACAACTCTCATCAATTACTAACCCAAAGTTGAGCCAGAAGAGATGAAAAGTGTTTCATCTTTCGCAGCAGCCAGATTTACTCTGATTTTAGAACACTTTTTTCCCGGTAGGTTACTACATTTTTCAGATTACTAGGTTGTAGTCGTTTGCTTATTTTTAAACACTAAATGGCACCCTCATTGCCTTGAAAAAAATCGATAGACACATCACAGTTATTCCCAGAGAAAAATTATGGAATATAAAAAGAATCTGGAATAGAAGAATCTGGGTTAACGTATCTTTAATTGGCTTTTAATAAGATTTCTTTTCATGAGCTCAAGTGCTTAAGGCAACTAAAAATTGCAACATTTCTCCTCAAACACTGTGTTTCTGTTAAAGTTACAGTGATTTTTCTCCGGGTCTACCTTAGAAGGATGCGAGCTTTACCCACCATTTACCAGTTGCACCGCCAAATGACATCATCTCTCTAAGCCACAAATCCTGCCAGATGCCTGTAAATATATCACCTACCTCACATGTGTGTAAGGAGTAAAAAACGAGTACCTTCCGTGCCCAGCCCCATGGATCTCAATCCTGGCTGTACTTCAGAATTACCTGGAACTTAAAAAAATATAATGATGGCCAGGCCCTATGGCAGAGACTCCCCGTTCAGCTGGGGTAAGGTGAGGCCCAGACATGGCTATTTTTAGAAGCTTCCTGGTTGAGAACAACTGGCTTAGAGTGACCGTAGAATAACCATAACTAATAAAGTGATTACTATCTTTCTCCATCTCTGTTTGGTAACATGTATCAAGTAAACAGGTCACTGTGTAAGGGCTTTTTTTTTTTTAAAAACTGTAATATAAATGTTATTGTTTTCTGTTCAGTCTACCTCAGTGCATTTTTAAAAAAATAACAAGTTTAAATGTTTGTTCTTCTTTTTTATTACCCCTGCCATGGGGTAAATCTTTCCCTATCCCTGCCATGAGGGTACTGAGCCAGAGATGCTCACTTTGATTTTTCCATCTCAGCCAAGCTGAGATTCTGGGCCAACAAGAGTCCAGAGGCTTCAGGGCCCTGAAGCCAACACTCAGTGAAATCCCTCACAGCATCCATGGATGCACAGGGTTTCTATATTTAGAAAAAGAAAATCCAAGATCTCGATGGTCACTGCAGAGCCTGGTTCTCCCTGCTTTGTCAAGGACCCTACAGAGAAAGTATGGGAAGAGTGCACGTGGATCATGGGCCTCCTCCCCAGCGGCCCTTCACCAGCACACCCTCTCTGCCAAACAAGGGAGGGCAAAGAGAGAGGGGGTAGACAGAGACAGTCTTGCTTTTGCTAAATTCCCGCAAAGAGAGGATTCTTTCTGGGACTTTATAACTGTTGTTGGTATCACTCTATGGTAAACGATGACACTTTTTTACCACGCAGGTAGAGCTTTCTAAATAAATTGAAAACCACTTCACCCCAAATGCACTCAAGTTAAAATCTGACCTGGAAGGGCGCCTGGGTGGCTCAGTCGGTTAAGTGGCTGCCTTTGGCTCAGGTCATGATCTCGCAGTCCTGGGATGGAGCCCTGTGTCAGGCTCCCTGCTCAGCAGGGGAGTCTGCTTCTCCCTCTCCCTCTGCCCCTCTCCCTGCTTGTGTGCTCGAAAACTCTCTCCCTCTCTCTCTCTCTCTCAAATAAATAAGTAAAAATTAAAAAATAAAATAAAATCTTACCTGGAAAGATGCTCAGTCCTCGGTTTACTTCTAAGCTAAGGGTCAGGGTTCGAGCAGTGATGCTAAAAATTTGTCGTGGTGCAAAGTTCAAACCATCAGTAACCTGAAAATTAAAGCCTCCTGACATGGCTCCTTCAAAAGAAGAATTACATTCTGGTCACTTTGGCTGTTCAGCAAAAGCCACCCACTTTCACCCTCTCTCCCGCAAAGCAACCCCTATCAACTAGAGAATGTGTGAATAGATCACTGAACTCACCAAACCAAATATTGCCAAAATGTGAAGTTAAAAGAACAATAATAAAGGTTAAAATGCATATTTCCTCCTCCCCTTTCCCCCCTCCCCTCACCCCCCTCCCCGTGACCTAACAAAAGAAAGCAAAGGTGTTACCTCTAAGAAATTTTAAAAAATCTTTTTAAACATATTTATCACCTGCATTTTCCTCCTTTGGAATGCACGCATGTCATGCGCACGTACACACACACACACACACACACACACACACAAGCAATTCCTGAAATACTGATAATGCTGACTTAATAATACCGAAAATCAAAACTAGGGGGAAGTAAAAACACTTAGCCCCTCCCTCCAAATAATTTCTAATTATTCACTGATCTCGAACTAGCTGTTTTCTGCTAAGGTGGTAAAGAGTGGGGAAAGACCCAGGCCAGCTTTTGTTGAATTCCTGCAGGAAGAGAACTGTACTCCCACAATGCTGTCAAAGGACTAGTGATATCAATAAAGTTATAAAATAACTTAGGTGTGTCAGAGAAATTGATACAGGCCCCCTCTGGCTCCCGTCCCCAGGAGGGCTTTCCCAGTCTGACTCACAAAGCACCAGGCGAGCTCACGATGTAGCCTGATGTTCGTATTCCCATCACCCTTTGAAAATGTTCAGCCAGCAGTAAATCTGGAGGCCCACACGTCTTTGCATCATGTAATGGGTAGAAATGTTCTCTTTGTTGCCCTCAGGGACATGTGGCAAGGAACAAAGAAGGCAGGGTCAGACTCCGCAATTACGTACAAGTACTCCCTTAATAACACAATTTAATAAACGGCTGGCTGATGGCTTGACAGCCGCTTGAGTTTCTGTTATCTATGCACACCCAGAGTTCCGAGTCCTCACAAAAAAAGGCTATAGACTTTTAAAAATTTCCCAATACACTCAAGAGTCGTCGTTTTTAAAAAGAGAGAGAGAGAGAGAATTCTGAGTCTGCTTAATTTCGAACAGGGGCCCACAATCAAATTTTGTTTGCTTGCTTGTTTGCTTGTTTTTACTAGAAATAGCACTCTGACGTTGCATTTAATGAAACATGAAATGAGGGAGAGAATACTTTCTGCCACCAGGCACTTTCCACATTTCATGAATCCAGAAACAACGTGGAAACGGAATCAAAAGGAATCCTATCAAAACACATACTAGAATAGTGTCCTGGGAATGCCCTAACTTATCACACTAACTATGACCAAAGAGAGGAAAGGAGGGAAACATGAAAGGAAGGGAGACCTGTAGATTTTCTGTTGCACAACCTCAGATCTTTCCGACAGTACTTTGCAAAGGGCGGCCTTAAATCACACAGCCTCCCCCATCTTGGCTTTATCAACCTACTTAGGTTGTTATGTGAAAAATGAATTAGATTAGTGGTAGAGCACTTTGCAAATATAAATGCTAAGAGAGACTAATTAAACCTAAGCCTTTGTTTGGGGCTGATAATGGACAGATGTAGCAGGAGAACTAGCTGGTCTCAGCAACAGCCTCGTCTGCGCGGGCCATTACTACCTCCGCAGCCATTTAGAGAATGTGATGCATTGATTCTCAAGGAGCTTGCCTTTAACTCTCCTTTCTGCCTTTTTTTTTTTTTTTTTAGGAGAAATTATTTCCTCTACCAGCCAAAAGTGAACATGGATCTGGTTGTTTACAAATAAATAAATCCAGAGCCAATTTTCATTTTAGTCCTGCAAATAGTGAGTGCAATTCTTTAACCTGCTCTGTCCTTCAGTGGGTGGCAGGCAGCGGAAAAAGCCCAGCTGCAGGGTGAGCTCAGCTTACATCGTTCTGAGCCTCAGTTTCTTCATCTCTAAGATGGGGTCACTGCTCCACATGGCTCAGAGGACTTGTGCAGAGTAAATGAAATGGGTCATGTGACCGCACCTCCTGTGATGTCAGTGTGGGCCAGAGACTCAAGGATTCCTTTTCCTGGCCAACTGCATCGTTGCAGAAATCCGAAACTTCCCTTGGGGGAGTCTCCAGAGCAGTTCTCTCCATTTTGAAAATATAATCCTTTCAAAAAAATAACCTTTCTAGGCCTTCATCTAATAATACTTGGATTGTTGGTATCTAATAATCAAAATTTGGAGAAAATTTCCTATTACTTCAGTACCTCTTTAAACGAATCGTATTTTATTAATCGGCACATCTGTACACATTTAAAAAATGAGAACATCCATACGTGGAAAAGATCATCCGGTCTAGAAACAAGGCTTTGGTACATATGTGAGTAGATTTAGTATCTTGTTGCAATAAAATTAACCTCATAGGTCCCCAGGCTACAGGTTTGGAACCACTAGTTGAGAGCATTCACATAGTAAATTATTTTCAGATTATTTGGGGATTCTTTGTATTAACTGCAGAGATAATCAGGAAAATACTACATTTGAATTTAGAAGATTTTTTTTATCTTTATTTTCTTGACTATATTTTCAAAGAAGTTAATAAAAATGGCTGACCAACTATGACTGGTAGCTTTCCCATCATGCCCCCTAGCTCAGGCACCCCCAACCCCCATTCACTCAGCAGCCCAGGAGTGGGCTCCTTCCCCTCTCCATCCAGTGACAGGGGCAACCTGGAAACAAAGCCAGACTGGATCACCCCTTCCTCAGATTTATAGGAGCTATTTGGCTTGCTGATTAACAGAAGGAAGAAAATAAGCCTTTTAATGTCTGAGGCTCTTAGAATTACAGCTATATTCATTCATTAGTTTATCCATGTGTTCATTTATTTTACAAATATGTTTGTTTTGTTCACTAAAGTATCCCTAGCATCTGGAACATGACCTGGAACATAAAAGTATTCAATATTATTTCATTCTTTCAACACATTTTTATTAAGCACCTACTTGTTCTCGTCACTCTTTGAGGTGCTGAGGATCTCAGAGCAAACAAAACAAAGATCCTGCTCTTGTACCCTCTAGTGAGGAAGACAGACACCAAACAAACAAAGCAATCTATACTACAATGGCAGGAAGTCAGTAAGGGATGGAGAGGGACCAAGAAGAGATGCTATTTTAATGGGTGGTCAGGAAAAGACTCTCTGGGAACGTTGTATTTGAGCATAGACCTTACATGACCATGTGAGTAAGCCATGTGTGAGTTATAGGTACTCTCTGGTGTTTGCTGTCATTAGCCTTACTACAACATGCCACTTAAAAAAAATTACAGACCCCAGAAAGTTTTTCGATGGCTTGTGGTTTTCAGTCACCAACTCCTAGGTTTGACTATCATGTTAGCCTGTGATTCAAACACATTTTAGTTTTGTATTACTTGTCTCTATGACATACCAGTGTGTACAAACACTAGTTGGCCCTTGTTGATTTGAGCCTGGGTGAAGTTCTGGATGCTTCGGCCAGGAAAGGACTGGAGAGCCAAATGCCCGTTGCTGGGTGGAGTGACCCAGTAGGTGAGGTCCTGCGGGAAGGAGTCCTCATCTTCCGCACAGAGGTCATCCTTGGTAATCTCAGTGACAGAATTCGCCCACACCTTAAAAACAAGAGAAGCACAGATCTTGCAAAGACCAATTCCAATCATGACACATAAGTAAACTGGATAGCTATGCGACTCTGGCCTCTTGCACAAAGATTTAGAAACTAAAGCAATTCACTATAGCTTTTAAAGCATGAAGATTCTTTTTTTTTTTTTTAAGATTTTATTTATTTATTTGAGAGAGAAAGAGAGAGGAGCATGAGCAGGGGGAGAAGCAGACACCCCACTGAGCAGGGAGCTTGACGTGGGGCTCGATCCCAGGACCCTGCGATCATGACCTGAGCTGAAGGCAGACGCTCAACCAGCTGAGCTACCCAGGTGCCCCTAAAGCATGAAGATTCTTAATTCAAAACAGACATATAATTAAATACCAGATGAAATTCAGGGCATGCTATAGTGTTTGTTTAATTTGTGAGGTTTATAAGGTCCCCCCCAAAATAGTATTCATAATTATTTATTCAAAATTCATTATTTAAAGTGAATACTTATTTCTATAAAGTATAATAACAATAAAAGATGATGGTAACTAAGCACCTTCTGCATGCCTGACATATGCTAAATATGGAAGCATAGGTGAAGATTCTACACGGAATCTCAGATCATCACAGAACCTACTCACAGGGCTGATTTAAGGATTTCTATTCACCGTTTTAAGAAGTGAATGATTTCATCAGCTCTTAAATATTTGAGGGAAAACACATGTTGCACATTTTAAGAATTTTCCTTTATTTTACCTGTCTTGCAGGAAAACATATATCTGGTGCCTATCTGCTGTGCTGATAGCTCATCTACAATTATTTCTGAGTAATAGTCTCTATTTTCCAATTACATTTAAAATCTATTTACCTTGCTTAAATATCCTAGTTCCACAATTCATCATTTATTGAGCATCTACTATGTTCCAGGCAACGTCCTAGGTGCCTGCAATCCATCAGTGAACAAAACAGAGTCCTATCCTCACGGAGCCTACATTCCAGCAGGAGGGGATGAAGGAGTACAGGGAACAAACAACAGGCATAGTAAAGAAATGAACTATACAGTCTGTTAGAAGTTCACGGGCACTATGAAAATAATGTAAAATAAAGCTAAATAAGGGGCTCAGGAGTGGAAGAATGTTAAATCAGAGGCTCATTTGACAAAAACTGGAAGGAGGTGAAGGAGGGGCCACGTGGCTATCAGGGGAAAGAACATGCAGGCAGAGGGAACAGCCCTAAGGTGGGAGCCAGCCTCATCTGTTTGAGGAGTAGCAGGGAGGTCAGTATGGCAGGAGCAGAGCAAGTGAGATGAGGAGGACAAGAAGATGAGTCAAAAATGTAATGGAAGGCCGAATCCTGCAGGATCTTGACAGCCACAGTAAGAACTTTGGCTTTTATTTGAGTGCAATGGGGAAGCATCATAGGGCTTTAGGTGAGGAGTAATTTGGTCTTAACAGAACCCTGTTGCTTCTGTGTCAAGAACAGACCATGGAAGGCAGGGGTAGAAGCAGGGAGACCAGTTAGGAAATGACTACCATAATCCTGGAAAGAGATGAGAGAAGAGAGTGGCCGGAAGTTGTTGAGGTGGTAAGAAGTGGTCAAGTTCTGGGTGTGTGTTGAAGGTAAAGCCAACAGGCTGTCTGACGAATCGGACGTGGTGAGGTGTGGAAGAAGGAAAGGTGGAGGAATGACTCCATGGTTGGGACCTCAACACCTAGAAGGACGGAGTTACCATCAACTGAAATGAGGAGAGTGGCAGAGGGGGTGGATTCGGGAAGTAAGATCAGGAGTTCAGTTGTGAACATGTTGAGCTGAAAACGCGTATTTAGACATTGAATCCCATTTGAAGGAAGGAGGCTGTTTTGAGTTTCTATAATCATGCAGTCACATGGTATTTGACGAACACTAAAAATGGGTGGCATTATCACTAACTAAATTTTCACATTTCTATCTGTATTTATAAATGTCTTCCCTATAGAAACACCATGCATATTTTCAAGCTTATATCATTCTTTGCTCTCTGACTAGAACCTTATCATCTTCTATGCTTGTTACCAACTTGTTTAAAAATTCAATCCTAAGCGATTTAATAGATATCTCTCTGGTCTAAAAGGCTGTTTTCCTTAGTAGCACAGGGAGTTTATGAAATATCTTAATTCATGCTCACTCATTATCTAATAACTATTTAAACAGAATTTGAGAAAGGAATATCAGAAAATATATAAGATAGGATCCTACATTTTCATATGAGGCATGATATGCCACGTTAGCTATGTAACCTTGGGCACATTTCTTAATTTACCTATGCCTTAATTTCCTCATTAGTAAACTAGGAATGATAGAATTATTATGCGTAATGAGTGATTTAAGATATGTAAAGTACTTAGAACAAGCTTCACCTGGCAGATAGTAAGAGTTCAATAAATATTAGCTCTATGTTACCCATCTTCTTCATCAGATTCAGTTCTGAAGATAAATATGATTTTTTAAAGACATTACTTAAAAGTCATTCAGAGTGTCCTGATTATGATTATTGGAGCCATTCTATAACATGTACTGTGGATTTTGTTTAATCCCACAGCATCGCTCCATAATTTGGGGTGAGATAGTTCATCCGTTTCATGATTGTATTGTCGATGGATGCTCCTATATCTTGGCTTTTGGAATATGGCCACTGAGGATTTTTCAGCCCTAAACCCTAAGGACATCAGTTTTTTAATAGCTACCAGAAATGCTCATCAACCGGGCGCCTGGGTGGCTCAGTTGGTTAAGCGACTGCCTTCGGCTCAGGTCATGATCCTGGAGTCCCGGGATCGAGTCCCACATCGGGCTCCCTGCTCAGCAGGGAGTCTGCTTCTCCCTCTGACCTTCCTCCTTCTCATGCTCTCTGTCTCTCATTCTCTCTCTCTCAAATAAATAAATAAAATCTTTAAAAAAAAAAAAAAGAAATGCTCATCAACCTAATGTTCAAATTATAAGGTTTTGGTCTTCAGTTAATCCATGGAAAGCTACAGTGTTTATAAAATACACAATTGGACTATTTAACAAAATTCCAAGGCCACTGATTTTACTTTTTCACTTTTTACATTTTAAAATCCATCCGTGTATCTTATTTCCTTTCTTTAAGAACTCAAGCTGATTTGGAAAAGTACTGCCATTCTCTTCTCGTGACTCGTAGATACTCATTTTTTCCAGCACCGCGCACACAAAAGCTGGATGAAGCACGTTTTCCACTGCAGCTACTCTTCCGTGCAACTCTGCTTTTGCCCCCTCTTGCCTCTGGAATATACCATCTTTCAAAACAAGTCAAAAACCGGCCAGTCAAAACAAGAGCTGGTAACTTTAGGTCTTTATTTCCACTCAAATCAAATTTAGTTCAATTAACAGCCCCACTGCTTTGGGCGAGGCTTGATTTCGTGCCAAGTCATTGGTCATAGCAACTTCAGGTAGATGGGGAGAAGAAAAACAAAGGTTGCCGACCTGAATGCAGAATTAAAAGTGATCCAAAGCCCAAGAAATAATGGTTTAAGGAATTCATATTTGAAAAAATAATTAGCACATTAATTGGAACACATTTTTAAAAATTCACCTTTAACTTAAACAGAAGATCAATGGGATTTAGAAACCTAATTATAATCCAATATAATCCTAATTATGACTCTAATGTTTAAAAACCCAGACCTTTGTTTTGAGTTTCAGATGAGGGATGTGAAATGTTTATAAAGTTACTATCCCACTGTCTGACCCTTCTAAGCCTTCCGTCAAAATCTCAGGCTTTGCTGCCTTAATTCTTTCACTGTCCCTGGCTCTCAACGCTCTTTTTAGTGATGACAAGTGCTTATCAGAAACAAACAAATGATTCTATTTTTGGTGTAAAAGACAACAACAAAACAAAATGTACAGTATTGAAAGCCAAAGTTGAAAAACAGGAAAGTGAAGCCCCCTTGTGGACACAAATACATTTGATCAGGTTATGCACCAAAATTTCTGGTGATGCTTGAATACAGAAGTACTCAGTAGAGTATATTTCAGAGTAAAATGCAAAGGATTCATTTCAGGAGTTGGTCTAACCCCAATTCCTAACACCAGTCTGTCACGTCGGAAATGATTCCCTGCACCACTGAATGACTTTGGAGACCAGCCAGCCACAAGTTCTGTGGCTAAATGAAATGTTGTTTAAAGTACTTTAGGAGAAAGAAGTGTATCCTATGCTAGGATAGAACGGTTAACATTCAGATTTCTGCCTTTGAACTCCTATCCAGAGTCTGAGATGCTATCAGCTGGTCTACCCCCTAGGCTCCCACTTCCTTTTCCCAAGTAGACTACAGATAACCCTTCTTGCCACTTGCTCCAAGCTCTGATGACAAGTAAGGAGTCTGGGTAGTCATATGGGATAATCTGAAGGTCTTGAGAAAGTTCTGTTTGAAAAGTCAGAGACAGCATAGAATCTTAAGACTATGATGGTTAATTTTATGTGTCAAGTTGACTAGGCCACGGGGTATCCAGATATTTGGTTAAATATTATTCTGGGTGTTTCTATGAGAATGGATGAGATTAACATTTTGGATGAGATTAACACTTAAATCAGTCGACTGAGTAAAGCAGAATTATTCTCCCTTAAGTGGGTGAGGATCATACAACCAGTTGAAGGCCTAAGTAGAAACAACAACAACAACAACAACAACAAAACCAACTGATCCTCCTGTGAGTAAAGAGAATTCTTTTCTGTCTGACTGCCTTTGAACTGGGACATCAGCTCTTCTTGTTGACCTTCATATGGGAACTAAACCATTGGTTCTCCTGGGTCTCTTGCCTGCTGACTAACCCTACAGATCTTGGAACTTGCCCACCTCCATAATCACATAAGCCAATTCCTTATAATAAATCCATATATATATATCTTTACACACACCAACCCACAACTCAGTCATGGTTTTGCTGTCAAGGAAGATGAGGCTCAGAGAAATTTTGCTTAAGTTGGGCAATTTACAAAACTTGAACTCTGGTCTTCTAACTTCAATCCAGAATTTTAAAGACAGAGAATGCGATTCTTACCAGATATATAAGTGAATAAACTCAGAAAGAGCCAGAGTCAAATGACCACATCCATTGAAACTGGGAAGTTGCACCCTTCCTGGCCTAGATCCAGGCTCTTCAGGGAAGAAGGTAAGAATAAAGGAAATGACCCTTGCCCCCAGTGACTGTTCCTCTTTTCTTGAGAGAAACACTCTGGAATAAGGATGGGGGAAGGGGGTGTGGGCAAACCGCCTGAGCAAGCTCAAGGTTTTCAGCAGAGACTGTATTTCCCTAATTTAAAGGGAAGACAGAGACAAAGGCCAGCGTACACATTTTTTCCTCTCACAATCTAATGTTCTGAAGATCTTAAATTGACAGGAATATTTCAATATAATAAAACTATTATTAAGTTGAGGGTGCCTCTTATAACTAATGGCACCTCAGAACTGAAAGCCAAACCCACAAGGCTTCAATTCATTTTCAGAAGGAAGCCCAAGAGTTCACTGCGTTATTCCCTGGTCTTCCTCTCCCTCAGCCGGCTCCAGCTCTTCTCCCGTATCTGTCTAGATTTTAGCTCCCTCCCATGGATCTTTCTCATCCTGCAGTTTCGCACCACACAGCAAAATGCCCAACTCCTCTGCTGAGGTTCCTGGGCGAACACATATGTGTTCAATACAATTGCTGCGGACCTATTCCCCGAAGTCCATGTGAGGGGGAGCAAGAAGCACCACAGCTTTGGGGCTTTTTTCTTCATAATAAAGACAGCCCTTGATCACGTGGATGCACTGAGAGAGCTTGAGGCAGTCATGAGTAGTGGGCCAAGCGGCAGAGAATGGTGGTGAGACAGTCAGACTTTTCACACCTTCCCTTGGTGACTCTGGGCCTCACTGCTCCTATTATGATGAGGACATCAGGAACAGCAGTTGCTTTGAGGGTTGTGAAAATGACACCACTTCTGGAAGATGTTCAGTACTGTACTCCGTAAGCCCATAATAAATGTAAACTTTTATAACTGTGCTTAATAATCATTGATGCCTACGATCCCTCCCTGGAGCCAACAACCTAGTCTTAGATCGCTTTGCTGAGAATGAGTTCAGTAGATAGTAACACCACAAGAATCTGTGAAAACAGAGGTAGGCCTCCAAATGTGACCAGCTAGAACGTCCCATTCCCAGGCTGTCTAGACAATGACTGGAGTAAACTAGAGATAAAGCGACACGTTCCAAAGGTATAAACACCATTAGTTTTTCACTTAAAATACAGAGGCTGAATAATGAGCCAAGCCATAAAATACCTAAAAGCGCTAAAAAGCTTATTCCTAAATCCAATTATTTTGAGCAAATAAAAACAGATTTTAAAACCCCAGCCTGTTTCCATGTTTAACAATATAAAATTTTCTAGTTAGATAAGCCCCTGGTGAGTGCTATTTGTGTCCACCTCTTCTGCATCTCTTCTGACTACCCAATCTCCTCTGGACTTCTAAAGAATCTATTATTAACTATTTACTCTCTTGAGTGTGTAAACAAGGCTGACGTTGTCCAAAACGTATGTGGGACGATTTGTCTCTGCCAAATTTCAAAGTGAACACCTTCAGATTCCCACGTCTGGGCATACCTGATGAATGTGTCCCCTAGAGGCTGAAATGTGCGAGGGGTCATTTCTGGATTCTTCCAGAAATGCAGCTGTACTAAAGGAAGAAAGAGCCAAGGCAAAAGCCTGGTCTCTGAAACATGGGCCAATGTTGGGGGGAAAATGACAGTTTATATTTTCATTTACTCATCCCTTCAACAAATACTTCTTGTTTGTTATGTGTCAGTCATTGCTGGAGAGCCTGAAAAGAGGCATGAAAAAGCCATCAGGCTCCTGTGCTGTCACTCTGTCCTCAGCCTGTCATTTAGCTGTCATGCCATTTCCTCCTCTGTCCAATGAGGGAAATGGTAGGACATCTCTCAGTGAGCTAAAAGCCCTTAGAGTGATACCTGGCACATAATAATGGCTAACAATTATTTTCTGAGCACTTACTATTGTAATACCTATAACTCTTCTCCAAGCCAGCATAGCAAATTCATGCCCAAGTCCTTAGAAGAAGGGACAGTATGAAGGAGTGATGTAAGACCAAAAAAATCTACTGAATGAAAGCTTTGGGATCCTTGAGTGTAAACTGGCACAAATGGGTTCACCAGCATTGACGTAGGTAGTGCTGGTGTGGGAGGAAATGGTGCCATAAGAGCCAGAGGGACTCCTGCGCATCAAGCCCTTTGTGTGGCCAATAGAAGCCATGACATTGCTTCAGGTTCCCACATCAGGACAGGAGCCAAATGGTGGACACCATGTGGTTGCCAAAACACATTTAACTGTGAGTGCCCAAGAAGCAACCCCAGGGGATTCTCAGAAAGAGTGAAGGGTGACGGAAGTTCCCAGAAACAGCAAAATACCATCACATGATTGTACAGTGTTTTTTGTTTTTTTTTTTAATTCTAATACTGGTTTAGCCTTGGAGTTTTTCAGTAATAATGTTACCATTTATTGAGTCCCAACCACACCACATGTCAGGAACTGTGGGAGAGTTTTACAACATTTTCTCTTTTATTCCTCACAACTCTGCCTCCATTTCCTACCACCTTGATGAGAGCACACTGACGGACTAAATAATTTGCCCAAGGTCACACATTCAATACCAGGGAGCTGATTCTCACCTTCCCACCCTAACTAGAAAAGGCCATGCCTTGGGGAATACAGTGTGAAGGACACCCACTCAAGAAATACAAGACAGTAACTCATTGGGATTCATCATCTTCCAACAGTTACCCAACAGAATGTCCCAGTCACAACTAACATTTATTTAAAACCAGTAGGAATATGTTAACCGTACATACCTAGTGCTATGTCTTCTTATTTAACATTAGAAATAATATAAAAGAAAATCAAATCGGTAGCCCTAATGTTATTATGATAAATCAAAAAGCACAGAGCACTTACCTGAAGGATTTTGTTGGTTGTTATTACTGGAGCCTTATCATTTATGGATTCCACAGTTACAAAAAGAGTTCGGGGCAAACTCTGTTTTCCAAGCTCTGAGCTATTTGCAAAGATGGTGAAATTGTCAAGAAGCTCCTCGCTATCATCATGCACGTAGTAAATCAATTCATTTTCCACCTATAACCACCACCAACAAAAATCACCAACTTATTGAAATGTGATTTAAAAACATGAATAAATTGCTATAATCCTAATTTTTATGTCTCTCTAAAACACAGAAGCATGTGTTCATCCTATGAGGTTTGATTCTGACACTTAGAGTAGAAATTATGATGGACAGGATAGTTTTCATGAAGTGATGCCACATCCTAGGAGTAAGTTTAAGGAGGAATGGAGCAACACAGCACATAGCGTAGGAAAGAGAACACCGGACTGGTAATCAGGAGACCTAAGTCAAAGGCTAGTTCTAACACTGAAACGTGCAATAGGTAAGTGATACAATCCAGCTGTTCCTTCAGTGGAACAACACCCACTGAAATTCAGACTCTACTTGTTTACTTACAGTGACTAATTTTTGAAGTTGTGGATTACTTTGTTAGAGAATTCAGAAAGTTAGGTTGAGGCTCTGAAACTTCTACCCTTCTACCCACTTGTTGGGATTTTTGTTGTTTGGAGACATCTGGACCAGGGCAACTATTAAGTTTCCCCAGACTTCCCTTTTCTGAACTAAGCATGCATTATTCCTTTAACTGTTCTTTGTATGGGAGACTATACATGCTACCTCCTAATCCTGTTCCTCCTTCAGAACACAATCATTTTTTGGTGCATCTCTTAGCAGATGCTACCCATAACTAGCTACCAAACATCTCCTGTGGACAGAATATAATGAAATATATCAAAATCAAATTTTTATCAAGGCAGATTTCCTTTACAGGTCCCCTGTCACCAATAACACAAATGGCAAACATTCACTTTTATCCTTGTTAGATTTCATTTTCTAATTTTCATTCTGAAATGGTCATCAAATGAATTAATTATTCCTCTTGGATTTGTAATAACCACAATTTTGATCAGAATGCCTTTCATGTCTTTAAGGGTCTGATGGAAAATACTGAAGAGCACAGGATCATAATTAGAGACCAAGAGAATTTTCAAGCTAGAAGGGAACTTGGTTTCAGTGAGTCTGTGACCCAAACGTAAAATGGCAGAGAACTTCCAAAGCCCAACAGGAGTAGTTGAACTTCTGAAAAAGTCTCTGGGGTTGTGTTTGTTTTGATAGAATACTGCCAAAAATTTTAACAGTTCAACTTTGCCCGTTCCTATGGTGCACTTCCTTTGAGCAAATACTTTTGATCTCTCAGAGGTGTTTCTGACAAGAGTTGAAAAGTTCAGGAAGAGTCTCAAGGGAAAGTTGTGGCCATTTGTACACAGGTGCTATGAGAATTTCTTTGGAGTTCTGTGGGCAGAGGAGTTCCAGACCATCATAGGCCTGACCACAAGTTCTGAAACATGCTGTTTCAAGCTACTTGAAACTAAACACAGAAGATGGCATTGATCAGAATGTGAGAGAATTTGTACCTAAAGTGCTTTAGGAACATGGTATTTAATTCAAGTTGCCTCCTCAGTATCTTTCCTGGAGAAATACAGCATTTCTTCAAAGGAGTGGCACTCCCCCAAATTACATGCCATTTAATATGTATTAATCTAAAGGCAAAGAGAAGATTGGGTAGGGGTTTGCCTATTTCTCGACTTCTAACACTAGAAAAATATCTGCTGACCTGAAACTGAAAGATATAACAAACTTGTAGAAAATCTTAGAAGACTGAAAAGTATTGGGTCCCCTGTCACCAATCATGTTCAGGGCATAGGGTGTCATGCCTCTGCTCACCTTCTCCCTCCCTCTTTGCTCCCCACCTCACTCAGGATTAAAGGTGAAGTAGAAGGCCCTCCCATGCTGGACCTCCCTAACCTCATTTACAGCTCTTCCCCCATGGCATGCGGTCCAATCCCACTAAACCCCTCGCTGCTCCCCACACAGCTGTTCACTTGCTCTTCCCTCTGCCTGAATGCTCTCCCACCATGTCTACCAGGCTCACCCATCCATCACCTCCTGTCTGTCTGAGCTGTCTGTTCAGATGCTGCCTTCTCAATGGGACCTCCCCTGACCACTTGATTTGAAACGGAACAGGCGCACACACACACCCCACTGAAGGCTCCAGCACTTCCCAGCTCCCTTTCCTGCTTTATTTTTCTCCATAGCACTAATCTTCACTCGACATGCCTTTTATTTCACTTATTTATTTTTTCTATTGTCTCTCTCTGCCTCCTTCTTTCCCCTCCAGTGCATCGGGGCACAGATTATTGCCGGGTTTGTTCACCGCTGTATCCCCACTCCTTACAACTGGCATGCCTGACACATAATAGATACTCAAAAATGATTTGCTGAATGAATGAAGGGCAAACATGGCCACGGGCTCCTCCAAGCCACTCAACACTATAGCCACCAGTTGTTGGGGGTTAGTGCTGCTTTACATGAAAACAATGATATCTCAAAACCTGGAGACCTTAGAGTCATATAGGAAGAGAAAGTACGAAGGGGTCATCGGGAAGAGCAGGGACACATGACCTTGACTGTGAACAAGGCTACACAATAACACAGATCCTAGAGGGAACACACATACGTGACATACAGATTTCAACCAACCATTCTAAATGCATACTTCTTACAAAGCACAATCAACAATGAATTGACGAAGACAGGATGAAAATTTAGTGCTCAGCCTCTCACCTAGCATCCCTGAGGTGAACAGTATTAAATTCAACTTGCACCAGAGCAAGTGGTCATCTTGGATGGTTTGTCCAGCCTTTGAGAAGGAAGCCATGATGAAGAGATGCCTATAGGAAGTCACTAAAGGATCACCTTCCCCGGGTCCCCAGTAGAGAAGCACTGATTTCCAAGGTCATTTCCAGTCCTCAGGATTCTCTGCTTCTTCCCATGGCTCCCTAAGGCCTCCCGGTTCAGTCTAACCCTCTCGACATATAATTCAAGACTCTCCCGTCTGGCCTCAGTTCTCTCTGCCACTCCTGAGCCCACCTGCAAGTCTTGTGGGTTATTTCCCAGCCCCCAGAACCCATTCACTTTAATGCCTCCTTGGCCACGCTGTTCCCTTTGCTCATGTTGCCTTTTTTTTTTTTTTTTCTGTTTCTCCTCCGTTACCTCCCTGCTCTTTCTTTCTTTGTTCAAGTCTTGCTTAAACGTTACTCCCTCTGTGAAGTCTTCCCTATTCTCTTCAACTAGAGTCAGATGTGCCAACTCTGCACTTCCTTAGCACCATGGTGAGAATGCTCTGTGAAGCATCAGAAGGATGTACTCATGTCAAAACTTGGGCGCCTATGTCCCCTCCCCCAGCATCTCCTCAGGGCAAGGAATGTGGCTCCTTATGGCAACCTTGAACAGCAACTTGAACAGAAGAAGGGTTTAGCAAATCAATTCAAGTCCATTGATAAGATGAAATCCTTAGAAGCAAATCCTTAAAGCAGCCCACATGGGTTTATTTCTAACAGGACAAAGATCCCCAGAGATGCCAGGTGGTTGTTAATGGCTTCCAACCTGAAGAGTGCATATTCCCAGGAGCTTATAAAGGAAATGGTGGCAAGCTACTTTCAATACTTAGAAAGTAATGGAAATCATTATTTTATTCATGATAAGAAAGCCAAGTCTCACAATAATACCAACCTAGCCCAAAGCAAAGAAACATGATAGCAGCCCCGAGCTGAGTGGTTATTTTATGCTGAACACTAGACGGGAAGTTGTGTCCTGCTGCTGGATTGTGGGGACTGGGCCATTTAACCATTGATACCACTGTGCTTACATAGGGCATGCACAGAGTATGCACTCTGTCAACATCTGTTAATTGAATAATGGAATGAATAAATGAGTAAACCCACTAATGACTAAAGCACGTCTGTGTCAACTATCTAGGTGTAACACTGTGAGTGGGACAGTGACAGTGTGGAATTCCTCTAGAAATGGGCAGCCAGGACGGCACAGGGGCTAGAAACCCATGGCTTATGAGCCAAAGTGGGAGAACCTAGAGATGTTTAACCTAAAGAAGATAAAATCCGAGGGAACTTGATAACTTTTTCTTTCAAATATTTAAAGAGCTTTCAGGAAAGGAGGGACGACTTGTGCTGTGAGCTCTAAGTGTCTAAGCAGCAGACTTCAGGTCAGCAGAAAGAACTTTCTAACAACTGAAGTATTTTTAAACCGGAAGTGCCCATTGCATGAAGTAGTGAGTTCTCCATCACTGAATATATTTAATCAATGGCTAGATGATCTTTCTATGGGGTTACCATGGAAGGGGCTTCTAGCATCTGTTAGGAGGTTAAACTAGATACTCTTTCAAGTCTTATCACTCCTGAGAGTCCATTAATCTAAATAATAAATAGCATTTCTTTTTCTCTTATCCCACGTACCCAAATGTATTAACTGAGAATTATTACCTGTTTCCTGGTAAACTTCATTAGCTTTACTCTTGGAAAATTAGAATTGCTAACATAACCATGTTTCGGTGGTTTCAGTAGAACAAATTCACAGTCAACTCCCTCAAAATATTTGTTTGGAATTTTGAGATAGTCTTCCAGAAGTGCTTTGGAACCACCTTCTTGGACTGTGAAATTTTGTACCTCCAGAGGAATCCGCTTAGGGACGATATCCACTAAGATTTCAATTCCATTCACAGCTTGGAAACCATTCACCACTTCCAGTAAAAAACGGTCCTGTTGTTGGTCAGGAGCTGTCTGCACATAAAGAATATCCCCATCATCAATATCTTGTTGTGTAAAAATCAGAGGGGACTTTGCATCTGCACCCAAGCTTCCTTCTTCTGGTAAAGATTTCCGGAGGTATCCCTGCATTGGTGGAATTCTGACGGTGAACATTGCCTCTGAAGGAATATTATCTTCGTGGACAGCCTTGAGTTTGTATATACAACACACAGACACAAAAAGAAAATCACATCAATACTCATAAGAGTCAAGACCCTTGATGAACCAAACTGTTCTCTATTAATGTCTACAAATGGCTTAAGTTACTATCAGGGTTGATAGAGAGTTTAAACCTGGGTCTGTTCTGGTGACCATGTCAACATTTGCATTTAATGCAAATGGTTGCAAAGAAAAGTAATAGTCAACAAGACCTGAATAGCTACTAATGCGTTAACAAGGCATCATTCACAGCAGCAAGACACCCAGGACTCAGCAAGTTGAAGTGACAGAAATAAAATGGTATAAGGAGAAGGAATGAAAGATGGTTGAAGAAGCAGAAGTTGAATCACTTAAATTGCAAGACTTTAGAGGAAAGTTTTTCTCTCCCCTTTTAACTAGCTCAGCATTTTCAATATATATTTAATCTACTGATTCAGCAAAATCCATCTCAAAACTGTCATTTTAACTGATTTATAGTCACTGAACTACACATGCCCCCTTATGGTGAAACATAAACTCTCCAAGATCCTAAAAAAGAATTGAGAAATGCTGGTGAGCCCCATATTTCCTCAGGCAAACTCATTTAGTAAACTGCTTCTGATTTGGGTTCATTTCTTCTTGATGTTATTGGCTGCATTTAGCAAACAAGTAAACTCCTTTGCAGTCCTGAGGGTATATTCAGAATAGCCTGTATTTGTGGCCAGCTGTCATAAATCACAGTTTACAAACCCTGTACAGAATTACCCTAAAACAAACACTCTCCTAACTCTGATCAGCAGGGCTTTGCCTGCTGGAAGTTTCTAAGTAGGAGCCCCAGGAAACCAGGTAGCTTCTGGTATAAGGTCTCACCCCTGGCATTCCACTAGTCTGCACCAATTTTATCCATCAATTTCAGGAAACGAAATGAGGCCACCTTCAGAGCTAAGGAAATTAACTGTGTAGGATAGCATCCTCTGCTGTTTTAGGAACACTTTTTATGTTTAAGTTTCTCTAAATTTTTATACCCTGCTTCATCACATCACAAATGTAACTCAGATCAAATGAAATATTTGGCAGCATTTCTATAAAAAATGAAAAAAGTAAAGATCTCTTAATTTACTATAATATGTACATCATCTCCTCATTCCCAGTTCATTCTACACTAAACAAACATACATACTTGTGTGCTGGTGTGCACTCGGCTTTAACATAAGGCTTAGTTATTCCATTTCCAACTATAGGAAAATCAGTAGTGTCAAAATCATGAAACTTTCCAGCTTTTCTTTTCAAAGGCATTTACGTTTAGAAAAGTCATTCTGAATACCAGGGAGAAATCAACACAAAAATAGCTCTTAGAAGCAGATTACTCTGGGAGAGAGAGAATGCTTGGTGGTAGGACAACTACCTACCTGGAGTCTTCCTCTACTCAGTTTTACTGGTTTTCCTTCTTCAACTACAAGGGTCTTAATGAGCAGAATTTGGGTGCGATGTTGGTGACTTTCTGAGTACATTCGTACATAGATGCCCACGTCTATATATATCTCTTTAACTTTCACTGTCAGGTTGAACACATCAGAGTTGCCGTCGCCATCATGCCTATAAATCACATGTCCTTGCTTCAAGTCGTGCTGGGAAAATGAGTGGGACACTGAATGGTTGACCAGCACTCTGCCATGCTTTGGGGGCTGCAGCATGTAGAATTCGATCTCGTGGTCTGTTCTGACATCTTGGTTTGTGGTGACACTGAGGTTAGTTGTTGTGAGGCTGCTGTCCTCTCCTCTTTGTACAACCAGCCCCGTGTTGTTGGCTATCTGGACATAAGGGTCTGACACACTGACCTCAAGAAGGGATGATGTGTAATGGACACCATCTGTCACGAACAGCACAAAGCGGGCAGAGTCTGCACCCCGATGTCTGAAGAGCACTCGCCCTTCCCGCAGGTCTTCTTGCCTGAACTGGTAGAGTTTCTGAGACAGATCAGTGGCTCTCACCAGGTCCCCATTTGGGATGCCCCGCCTGGTATAGAGCAACTGCCCATCATCAAAATCTGAGTCGGGGTCATGGTAACAGAGATCTGCCAGGGTCAGTAGACGCTGGCCATTCCTCACGACATGAAAGACCTTATCTACCACACGCACTGGTTTCTCATCATTCTTTAAGTCTACAGAAATGGCAACTTTGATTTCTGTAGATAAGTGTTCCGTGTCAAGATGCCTGACCACTCCCTCTTGGCCTGGTCCTGTGGCAGAGGCCACAAGGAGGAATTCATCATGCTGGGTCTCAGAGTCATCGTGGACATACATCAGCCGCTCACCTACTATGTCTTGATCAGTGAATGCGGTGATATTGTCACGACTTCCCAGAGGATCTGAAAAGTTAACCAGTTTCAGCTTCCCGTGTTGAGGACTCTTGGTGATTTTATATTGGAAGGTCTGATTGTCCAGTGTTTGAGCAAATAATTCCGATTTCGTAATTAATTTCCCTCCTCCTTCTTTTACAAATAATCCTCTGTTAGTTACAATAATGCGTGTCTTATCTGCTTCAAAGTTTATTCTGAAAGTATAATCTTTTGATTCTATGTGTTTTGCAACAATCAAGAACCTAAATGTGTCTTGTGTGTCTTCCCTGGGCCTCTCCTGTGGCTCATAACTTATCTTAGAGTCTGCAATGTTTTGTTGGCTGAAGACGGAGTTTGTTTTTAGAACTTTATTGCCAACTAGCAATTTTCCTTTCTTAGGTGGGGTCAGTAACTTAAAATGCAGTTCTCTCTGAGTTACGTCCACACCCTCCGTCACAGCCTGCAGATGATCAGAGTTCAATAATTGTCTGCCTATTTTCCTGACCTCGAGAGGAACGTTTTTCAGAAGTATAAACTTGAGCCAGTGTACGGTAATAGGAAACGTCAACTCTTCACTGATTTTTCCTTCTATGTTAACTTTAAATTTAAAGTGATCTGTAACATTTTCTAGCTGTAATTCTTGAAACGTACTGTGGTACTGGACACGACCCCGATCAACGGAACGCTGAGAAAAGGTACTAACTTGTTTCCATCCGCCCCTTGACCCCTGCCGCTGAATCTGGCCAAATTGGGGTGGATGAGTGATAGCATAGTGGGTCTCCATCTCGTGGGGTTCACCGTTAACCTCCACTGACAAGTTACCCTGTGTAATCAGAACCGTGCCACCCTGCTGGACGACTACCCCAGTTCTAACAGCCACTTCAAAGTCCCAGGGAACAGCCACGAGCCGTAACACTACCGTATTGCTAACCAGCTCTCCATCGCTTGCTCTCAGAAGGATCCGGGAGTTCCGATGACCTCTGTGCACGTAGAAAATGTTGCCATCTCTTAAATCCCCCTGCGTAAAACCATTAATGGCTTTCCCAGGACCATTGGTGTTTTCTAAAAACCCAGCATCTGAATTGAAGTTGCCAAGAACTGAGAAACTAAGACTCAAGGAATCTGTGTCAGGGTCTGACACGTGTATTATATTTGGAGTCAGTCGTTTCTTAGAATTCTCAAACACGAGAAGCAAGTTTCCTTCAGGGAGCTTAAGGACTGGGGGATCATTTACTGGAAGGACAGTAATGGTAAACACATATGGAACATGTCCTTGCAGGTATAACGGCATTTCCTTCTTGTTCTTGGACGAGACTGAAAATGTGAAAAAATCCCTCGGTTCTTCTGAACCACCATGGACATACCAAACTTTCCCTTGCCCCAAATCTAACATAGTGAAAGCCTCCTCCATTCTCTGCGCAGGGGAAACATCGATTCGAAGGAACCCATGAAGGGGCATTTCCTCTATTTTAAATAGAATTTGAGAAGGATGGATGCCCAAATCTTCCGATGCCACATCCACGTTCATATGCCTTTGTTCCAGTAACGCTCGCCCACCTTCTTGGACCTCCAAGTTATTCAGACTCAAGAAATAGCTACTTGCATGGTGAAGAAAAGGCTTGCCTGCCTCGGGGACGGTAGTGGAAAGGGGAACTTCTGACCGAAGCAGGTTTTCTGTTGTCATTACGAAAGGGTTTTCATGATCACTACCCTGCAATTTACACCCGGCAGCTACATCTTTGGACACAAGGGCATTCTTTAATGCTCTTTTTTCTGAGTTGGTTTCCAAGCCTCTTAAGCACCCTTTGAAAGAGATTCCTCGGGCAGATTTCCTGGACACAGAGGCAAGTTCTAACTTCTTAACTTCTTCTCCCTTACGGTTATCAAGACCTCCCACGAAGAGAGGACCTTCCGATACAAATGGTTGGCTTTGCAAAGGCAGCAACGTCCTTACCCCTTGCTCATTCACCATCAGGTCCAGATACCTTCCAGTGAATTTGAGTTGAATAACGTGCCACTTGTTGTCACTAATTAAGCTAAAAGAAGAGAGCTGGGTGTTACTTTTGCTCCTTCCTACACGAGCCTTCAACAGACCATTCACTATTTCCAAAGCAACAAAATCTCCTTCTCTACCTGACTGAAATAAAAGCAAAGCTTGTTGAGTTCCAGTCTGCAAAGCAAATTCCAACAGCCCTTCCCCTTGTACCCTCCATTCTGGGAAGGTAACGTAGGATCTGGAGCTAAAGAAATTGATGGCTTCATCCTCCCCTGCAAAAAATTCATCATTGCATCCTAGTGACACCTCATAAACTTTCTTAAAACCAGGGTAAGACCTGAGGGATGCGAGGATCTCCCTCTGGTTAAATACCACATCCTCCATACATCCCCGGAAATTGGGGAGCTCTCCATCTAGGTAAGGGATGTCAAGTCCACCATGGCCTGCTATGTAGATTCCGTGTTGAAAGTGCAAATTGTGCATCCCACCAGTGATCTGGCCAGTTGTCTCATACTGTTTGTCGATAACCAGAGAGAGATTGTTTTTAACATAGTATAGTTCCACTAAATGCCAATCCAGGTCATCCATACGAAGTCTTTGCTCAGAAAGGAGCACTTGTTCACCTGCACCCAAATTCACCCTCACCTGAAATAGAAAGAATCATAATTAATCAATCACATATCATAGTATTTTATTAAGAAAACAGGGCCATTCACAGAGAGAGAGAGAGAGAGAGAGAGAAACTTGGACTTGAAACCACTTTCCACATGTATGGACTACACAATGAAGTTTAAAAATTTCAGAGTCAGAATATTTCAGGCATGCTGGTAAAATCAGAGGATATCCCAACTTTTCAAATGGCACATGATTTTATTCTAGTAAAATAACAGTAATCAAATGGATAGCTATTTTGTTCTCTTTCTTTCTCACGGTTTTTCCTCCAGTAATTGAAAAAACTTACACGTTTTTAAAGATTTAAGAAAATCTTACCCGTAAGTTTCCTGATAGAAGTTCTATTATACAGTAGTCATTTTTCCCAGCTGCAAGAAAAAGTAATCCCTGTGGTTTGCTGGTTTGAAATTTTAATTGAAGAGATAACTCAGGTGAAACTTCTATGATGTTGAGCTCCACATAACTTTCACCATAAAAAGATGCTAGGGAAAAATTTTAAAAAGGAGTATAAATGAGTAAATATATTACACAATGACAATTCCACTTTAGATTGTCATCTCCCTTCAGGGACTGCCCTGCTGAAGCTGCCTTGCCCAAGGCCACAGCTGGTTCCTGGGGTAGCCCACAGATCTGATGTGGGGATACAAAGGCTGTGTTCTCTTGCCCCAACTGAAAACAGCTCTGATGGGTCAGTCTATCTTTAGAACTCTCAAGAAGGATGGTGGAGGCTTCTGTTGAAACTGAATTGCAAGTCTATTTCTTCATGTACCCAATCCCGGTTCCTTCCCTGTCACAGGGATAATCCCAAACCACTGGTGGTGAACTGGTTTAAGAGCAGAAGGGAACACATTAGCCAGCTATGAAAGATCAAGCCATGAAAGATATAGTGCAAATAGTAGCTATGAGGACTATGGAATTGGGTGTCTATTGCTAAATTTGAATGAAGCTTTGGAAAAAGATAAGGAAAAGCTAGGAGAGATCAGTTGACAATTACAAGCTAAGTGTAAAAACAAGAGGGCTTCCCTGGTAGCATATAGAGTCCTCCTTTCCTACAGCAGGAGACCAGTGGAAGGTAAGATGCCCACCCAGGAATTAATCATCAGACTAGTCAGCTGCAAATAGAGTTCAAGTCCCATCTATGACAGGCTTGCTCTGACAAATCTAAGACCCTGGTTGGGAAAGAATAGAACCTTGACATAAGGAACTGGAGATATCTGGGTTGAGGCATTCAAATACCTTGGGTCCCTAGTTCTCTCTGAAACCTCTTAGCCTGCAGAAGTGGCCTATTCCCCCATTAGGGCTGGCATGGCCCTTGCCGAAAAAGGATGCAGAGGCTTCTCTCCACAAGCAGCATTTGATCTCTGAAGATACACTCCCATCTCTCCTCCTGGCCACTAGACCAAAAACAAAGGTTAAGTCACAACATAACCTGTGTGGGGACATGTTGGGCTTGACGTGGGTGGAAAAGGACTAGAGCCTAGTGTAGCCGTGGGACCTCTCCAGGTGTATTCTACTACCTGTAGCTGCCAGAATACACATACGACTGGGGGTACCTGATCAAGGGGGCAAAGCGTGAAGTTGGATAAGGAAGAGTTTATAGATTTGGGAGCACTCTCCAAGGATACAGGATATAACACCCTGGCAAAGACTACCAGAAATGGTGTGAACCCACTGATAAAGTGGCTCCTAGATGCACAGAAAATGTCTTTGAGACAGACATGACAGAATTACCATGACAGATGGATGAAAGAGATGAAAGTGGTACCTCCGGGACTGAGCATAAATAGGACCAGAAGGCACAAGCGAGCACACAAGATGGTAGCCCCGGAGCTCCATCATCGCCATGCTTGCCCCAGCACCTTTCCTCAGCTCACACATATGGCTGCATGGGTGAATCCCGTGGTACCAGCTGATGGAGAAACAGAACACCTGAGCATGGTTCACAGATGAGTCAGCTTCATCATACGGGTGCGTGATGACAATAGACTCCAACTGCACCATAGCTCCCTCTAGCGGCGGCCATGAAAAACACTAGGAAGAAAAAATCCTCCAAGTGGATAGAACTTTGGGTAGAACACTTAGAGAGAAGTGGACAGAGGTTCAAATAAATAAAAACTGATTGAGAGTGGCAAATGGCCTGGCCATATGGTCAAGAGCCTAGGATGCAGAAGATTGAAAGAGTAGGAATAAGGAGGTCTGGGATTGACACATTAAGTGGGAAAATCATTATGCTGCACGTTAATGCCCACCAGAAAACATCCACCACAGAATATGCATTCAACAACAAGGCATACAGAGTGACTTGGTCAGTTGACCTCAGCCAGCCTCTGTCATCTGCCCCCAATAGGTTGGCACAACAGGTAGCTATGGTGGCAGGGAAGGCATCTATTCATGCACCCAATAGTCTGGGCTCCCTCTTCCCAAGGCTTTCCTAGGTACAGCTCCTGCTGAATGCCCAACATGCCTCCAACAGAATCCAACACCAATCCCTAATATGTTACTGTCCCTTGAAGAGAGACCAACTGTCCACTTGGTGTTGAGCTGACTTCAGTGAAACTCTTTCTTTTTAGAATGGCCAGTGATTCCTTTCAAAAAATAAAATAGACACATATTCTGGGTATATATTTGCCTTTCTTGCCTCAGATAGCACCATTATATGAAGAGCTCATGGAATGTTTAATCCACTAATAGGGGAGGCCAAATAGCATCACATCAATCAAAGACACACCCTTTACTCCAAGGAAGGTGTGTAATGGGCCTAAGACCATAGGATCCACTGGCCTATCATACATTACACGGCTGAAGCTGAGGACCCGACAGAGTGTTTGAACAACCTAATGAAGGTACAGGTGAATCACAACCTCAGAAGCAATACTCTGTTGGAGTGAGGGTCCATCCTCCAAGACTACATGAAAGATCTTTACACGGTCTTTAAATTAAAGATCTTTAAACACCTGCTGTTATATCTCCAGGAGGTATAAATATATGGGTCTGAGAACAAATGTTGATCCCTAAGAACAGTCCTTGATAAGGCTCTTGCATGATTATCTCCATCTTAGATTCTGCTTCCTGAGGAACCCAATCTGCAATGTCTGCTTCTCCGTTCCTACAACACTCTGCATATTCCTTTATTCCAGCATTCACCATGTTGTACTGAAATTCCTTGCTTATTCATCTATCTCCTGGAATATTCCATGAGTTTCCTACGATTAGGAACCATCTCTTTGTTTATCTTTCCCTCTCCAATACCTAGCACAGTGCCTGGCCACAGGTAGCATAATAGGTTCTGTTGGTAGCCCACTGAGATCCCTTTTTAACAAGCTGGTACACCCATCCTCCAGCTGTTTCACTGTGTTATCCAGAAATTTCAGTGAAATTATATCCCCTGCCCTAGAGGGGGACCTATAGCCAAAGACTGATTGAAACAGACATAAAATATGTAGAGCTCTGTGTTATTCATATCCTAGAGCTCTCTCTGGGATCAGGCTGAGATTAGGTCAGCTAAACCCAGATCTTTGCTTGGTTTCTTCTCCTGCCCTATCCTGCTTCCCTCCTTCCTTATAGCTCTTTCCTGGTCCCCTCAGTCAGCATTTTACTTGCACAAGAATCCCTGCCTGTGCTGTTCTCTTTAGGGAACCCAATCCAAGATAAGTAGCAAGCAAGCATTTATTGAACCAAACTACACTAACCTAGGAGACCCTCATTCTATAATTGAGTAAACTCAGGCCTAGAGAAGCTTAGGGACTTATGTAGAGTCAACAGGTAGTTCACCAAGATACGAAGCTGATACAGAGATGAATATGGTCTCTACAAACTTTCTCAGGTAGGTATAAGCACTCTTCTTTAGTGAAAAAACAGCCATTAATAATTAAATTCAGGAAAACGAGAATGTAGCAATAAGGTCAGAAAGACAAAACAAGCATTTACAAACCCACTAGCTATCCTACCTTGTGTATGGTCCTGGCCTCTGGTTACTGAATCCCCTCACTCTGACTTTTACAGACTTAGAGGCTGTATTGTTAAGCTCTCAAAACCAGGAAATGTTTTCTAAATCATAAAATCTACTGCTGAGAATGACTAAGTAATATATTTTCCCACAGTTCACCTCCTTGGCACTAAATCAATTCCAGGATCAGCTGGTGGCTAGAAATTTCCATTGCCTCAGGGGAAAAACAAGGAAGCAGGTTTAAAACCACTGGTCTGACAGCCTGAAGCCAGTCTCATGCTCACAGATCTCCAAACTGACCTCAACTTCTGTGGCTCCTAGTAAGTGCCTCAAAATAATAGTAAGAAGCCAATCGAAGCACAAGAAAAACTGGGTCCTAGGAAAAGGAAAGCTGATCTCCACCTGCAGGGAAGGAGAAGGTGTGATTTCAGTATTACATGGGTAGGGCAAGCCAAGGTGAACAAAAATCAGAGCAACTTCCTGGTTTTATGTGCTTTTGTAAAAGGTGAAATGGTTCAATGGAAGCCAAAGTTTGGCAATAAGGTGGGTAAAAGACTTTTCAGGGAAAGTAAACATTTCTATTTCTCTATAATTTCTCCCTGGGGGGAGGGTGGTTAGTGATTATTTGATTCATTTTATTTACCTTAGAAATAGTTCCCACTTCTTTTTCCAAACTACATCTTCCTGTTTTTGTTTGTATGTATGTCTGTTTGATTTGGGTTTTGCTTGTTTGGGGGTATTTTGGTTTACTATTTATTGAGCACCTACTACGTGCCAGGTACTATCAGGAGTTGGAAGCAGGAAGTTACTGAGACTATGGGGGCTTGCAGTCTATCAGAAGGGAAAGCTGCTCAAAAAGAAGAGTATGTCCGATCCAGGATATTAGACAGTTGGTACAACAGCAGTTTGTTTGGGGCCCCGCTGGGGTATGAGGGAAGGAGTACTGTGCCTATAAAGTGTCTCTCCCTGACAGATTTAAGTGGCCCATTATACATATACTTGTGCTGTCCACAAATATACCAAATAAACCACAAACACGGGGATTCAAAGGTGAATGACATAGACTGCCAATCAAGCAATTAGAGTGGCTTAGTACCAGGGAAATGGAGAGCACAGCAGAAGCACTCGGCCTAGTCAAAGGGGATGGACTGAGGGTGTTTCCGGCAGGCAAGACAATGGCTTCCAGAAAGACCTAGTGAGGGACGGGCGAGAGTAAGAGGAGAGAAACAAGTGGAGAGATAGGAGAGAAAGAGACCAATGACTGTAAGGAGCCAAAGGTCCACTCTGGCTGAGCCCAGTGTGTGTGGGGGGGCGCAGCCAGGGTGGATGCGGCAGGGGTATGAGGGGTCGGGGGGCAAACGGTCAGAGGGCTGAAAGGCCTTCCCGGAACTGTCAGTTTAAAGTGGAAACTCTTTTCTAGGCCCTAGTTACCTTCTTTGTCTCCTGGGTTATTATCCAGCTCCAGTCCCAAACCATCCCAAACAGAATGTGAGGTTTTGAGGGCAGGGGCCTTTGCTAGTCTTGCTCACTGCTCAA